AACACTGCCAAGTAAAATCAATCACTAACTTTTCCTTTAGCAAGACTAGTATACCCAATGCAAAGCTCAACCCTTACTCGATAATCTTGTCTAGAATGTAACCTATAGCATGTAAAGTGATCACTACTACACCCCCTTTTAACACACTTATGAGTGATTACAAATGTATAGGGTAAAATATGTTATTATACCTTCTAACATATGTTATACATTTAGATTAATCAAGTATAAATATATTTAAAAATTTAAAAATTTCTTAAACAGCTATCTTCTGGATATTTATAAATTATAAAAATGTTTACAGTTATAAACTTTCTTAAGCACCCATTCTTGCCATAAATAATCATATTACCTTACTGTGCTGGGTTGAGTGATGGGCTCTCCTATCATATATGTGATGATAGGAGAGTGGCAATTCTTTACTGTCCTGCTTGTACTGTAGGATGTGGTGATGAAATTGTGAGAAAGAATGAAGGGAAGATTTTTCTTCATTTCATTCATTAGAACTCTTGATTTCTCTTGTCTAAACTTTGCATAGAAAACTCTACTCTAAACTTTATATGAAAACAAACACATGAGTTACTACATTGTAAGGAAATGAGTGGAACTTAAGGGCTTCGTGTCTTTATTATGTTAAATTGTTTATGAACTTATAGCAATGATGTTGGTGTAGGAGCTGGGCCTGGTGCTGATGCTGGTGATTCTGGTGCCAATGCTGGAGGTGTTGGTACTGGTAGTCACGATAGGGATGGTGTTGGTGAAAGTGAAGGTGTTGGTGTTGGTGATAGTGGTGGTGGTTGTGTTCTAGGTGGAGTTCTTGGTCGTGGTGGTAGAGGCATTCTTGGTCGTGGTGGGGGTGGTCTTCTAGGTGGTGGTGGTGGTGGAGGACTTGGTGGTGGTGGAGGTGAACAAGCATTTGGAGTAAAATAATAGGGTCCACAAGTGAACTTATTATTTCCATTATTGATGCATGTTCTTAAGGATTGGCCACTTGATCCACCATTTATGTCTGTTAAGAAAGAACACCCTCGGGGTGCTCTACTCGTATCGACACTCACTCGGCAACTCTCAATATCTGTTCCAGTCTTCACTAATTTAAAGATATTAAAGTATCCTCTATTATTTGTAAATGATGAATCACTGTCTCTTGGACAAACCAGGTTTACCTTGGCATCTGAAAGATTTAACAAGATTAGAAAAATACAGAAGATAGATCAATTTTCTTACTGAAAATGCCACTCTGAGAAAGTGATCCACAATTAGTACAATAAATATAGCCTTCTACTTTGATACTTGTAGTGGCAGCACAAAAATTTTCATTTTTCAGAATGACTGCAAGTAATAAAATTAAATAGAGAAATGTTTTGTTTTCCATACTTACATGGTAATGTGAGGTAAAAGAATGCCCTTTTATAATCTGCACTGCATTAAGTCAAACATCTAAGGTACAACTAATCAAGACTTTTTTCAAATCCAAATATTCTTATTTATGTGATCTCATATTTCCTACTTTTGCTATGCCAATGATCTTAAACTTGGAATAATAATAATAATAATACTCAAGAATCTTTGTATATTTTTCAAAATCTAAACTTTGCATCTAATATTGGTTCAAATAAATTAGATTAAAATGGTGTTTAACACCTAGATTAAGAAAGAATATTCTCAAAATTGAGTGCTTAACTGCTACATGGAGGAAAACACACCTTAGTCGTTAATGCAAATCAGACTTTACTGCATACAAGTATCTAGGTATCTGGATAGGTGGTACATGTGTTAACATAAAGCATCCCACCTAGATCTCTATGATGTTCGGTGTGCCCCAAGTTTCCTAAGGTAAAAGTCTTGGTGCAGCTGTAAATCTCTTTTTAACCTTTAACCTTTATACTTTGAAATTATGGTCTAAAAGAATATTCTCAGAATAACCTTTAATTTTGTGTCAAATGAAATAATATATTAAAGAAGATAGCTCACCTTGGTGCAACATGGCTGCCAAGCAATGGTTTCTTCATTCACCCACACTTTCTTGCAACGCTCAAGATATAAGGTGCCTCTAGCAGCCAGATCATCATTGTGTCCTTGAATGTTATTTATGGAAATAGTGTGGATTTCCACACTATAGATGCTACAATTGATCAAGTTTGGTCAACACCTCTTAGTCTAGTTATTTTCAACAGTTATATCTTCTTTCTATAAAAGCATAGATACCAGTGACAAATTTATTATTATTGAGTTTAATTTTATGGTTGTGGAGAATCTCCAAGAAGAAAAAGATTTCTGTCTTCATCACTTTTGAAGGGGTTAATACCTTCAATCTAGAATTGAGCCCAGCAATGGCAAGAGAGTTTATATGGAGTGAACTAATCTAGGTTTGGGTTTGGCTTAAGATCACTTATCCTTAACCATATCTAAACTTAGATAATGAAAGGATAATCCAAGCACTTAGCCAAAAGCCATAAACATCACAAACACCTATTCCATTGCTTTGTTAATTTCTGGAGGATTGGTTTGTTAAATGTTATGCTAAACCTTATAAACTTACGATCCAACTTTTTACAACACCCAATATAGTCCCTTCTATTGAGTAAGGAGCCCCTTAGATTGGGAATGTAATATTAGGAAAATAGACTAATACTAAGTCATTCACTTCATACTCTGCAAATGGACAATGATGGGAGTTGTAGTGTCATTATTGTCCCACTTATGCACGGCTAAGTGTTTAGTAGACTCTTCTTGGATGAGTGGAATAATGCACATTATATACTAATATCAAGATTTAGCATCAGTAGCTCATGATAATCGTGAAGGTAAAATGCTTCCTTGTCTAAATCTTGAGTATAAACTGACAACTATCAAGGCTTAGAAATCTTTCCCTAAATGTGCATTCTAGCCAATCCAAGCCTAGCTCCTATCCACCTAGATGATCCAAGAATTTCTCCTTGTTGACATTCCACTAGATATGTGCTAACTTAGTTGTCATTATAGATCTTACTTAGCCAATCTAACTCTTGGTAGTATTAGATTATGATCATATAAAACTTTATATGGTGAAGCACTAATAAAACTCTATACCCTTGTGATATATGCATACTGAAGAAACAATAAATATTTTGCAATCATCCCTTTAAAGTTCTAAACAAGCCATTCTACCAAGCCATTTGTTTGTGGATGATAAACACTTGTGAAATGCTTCCTTGTCTAAATCTTGAGTATAAACTGACAACTATCAAGGCTTAGAAATCTTTCCCTAAATATGCATTCTAGCCAATCCAAGCCTAGCTCCTATCCACCTAGATGATCCAAGAATTTCTCCTTGTTGACATTCCACTAGATATGTGCTAACTTAGTTGTCATTATAGATCTTACTTAGCCAATCTAACTCTTGGTAGTATTAGATTATGATCATATAAAACTTTATATGGTGAAGCACTAATAAAACTCTATACCCTTGTGATATATGCATACTGAAGAAACAATAAATATTTTGCAATCATCCCTTTAAAGTTCTAAACAAGCCATTCTACCAAGCCATTTGTTTGTGGATGATAAACACTTGTGAAATGCTTCCTTGTCTAAATCTTGAGTATAAACTGACAACTATCAAGGCTTAGAAATCTTTCCCTAAATATGCATTCTAGCCAATCCAAGCCTAGCTCCTATCCACCTAGATGATCCAAGAATTTCTCCTTGTTGACATTCCACTAGATATGTGCTAACTTAGTTGTCATTATAGATCTTACTTAGCCAATCTAACTCTTGGTAGTATTAGATTATGATCATATAAAACTTTATATGGTGAAGCACTAATAAAACTCTATACCCTTGTGATATATGCATACTGAAGAAACAACAAATATTTTGCAATCATCCCTTTAAAGTTCTAAACAAGCCATTCTACCAAGCCATTTGTTTGTGGATGATAAACACTTGTGAAAGTGTGAAGTATGGAGCAAGGGAGTGAAGGAATTGAAGTATAGAGCAATTCCCAAACATACAGCCCAAGGAGTGAAGGGACAGGAGCATTGAGTGACCTTTGAATAGTCTTAGAACATCCAGCATCCCAATGCTAGGATCGGCATCCGAAATGAAGCCAAATGGAGTTTGGTGCTATTTTAGCACATTTGTTGTGAATGTGACTTTGGGTATAAAAAGTTATATGTCGGCTAGTCCTTTCTGATATTCTTTCCTTACTACCATAACAGCAGGAGGTCGGTATTGTTGGACCCTTTATTAGTTTCCACCTAAGCTAATTGAGAAACTAATCATCACATGTGCACTAAAACTAGAAGGGCACTAAAGAAGGAAATACTAAGTTGTTATTTATCAAGCAGACTTGACACCGTGATGAGAAACTCATGATGTTGACTTGCACTTGCTAGTGTTGGGAACCCACGTGATATTGAGCTTGGTCCCTCAATATTCGCTAAATGATAGCTTACCGTGTTTGCCAAACACCCTTGTTATCATACCTTTTGTGTTACTCTCATTCTAGTCCCAAAAGCTATTTATGAAAAGTGTCTAGATTTGCTTATTTGGCATATTTACGAAATGTAAAGATTGTTCTGAACATAATAGTGTTCATCCCATGTCCAAATTCACAATTTAGGGACATTCCATATTTAATAAGTTTCAAGCTTGTCCCAGAGATTAACTCTTTGGTAGGTCGGGCATGGCTGACCAACCTGAGGCATAGTTTAGCTCCCGCTTGCATGCCTGTCCTTGTTCTGCGTCCGGCTTGGAGCTCCACACCATGCTAGCTGGTGGAGTACCCATATCCTCACGTTAGGCCACTGGTATGTTGAAATAGTGCTAGACTCCATTTGTCTCCATTTTGCGTGTTGGTCTTGACATTAGGATGATGGTTGCTCTAGGATTGTTCCAAGCCGCTCCATGCTCCTATCCTTTTGCTCCTTGGGTTATATACTCAGGAGTTGTTCCGTGCCCTAGTGCCATTGCTCCTTGGCTCCATACTTGGGAGTTTGGCACCATTCCTTCGTTCAGTGGCCCAAAGGCCCTGAAAGTCGGGTTCCACACCACTGTTCTTTCAACACGTGGCATGTGACACGTGGCACATAGTGGTTTAGGTTCCTCTTTGTGGTTATCCTGTGGTAAATCATTATAGAATAAAGGGTAAAAACCATATGTGTTATAATACTGATGGCCTAACATGAGCATATGGGTACTCTACCAGTTAGTATGGTGTGGAACTTAGGCTTAGACCCAAGTTAGACACAAAATAAAGACAGGTACACAAATGGGAGCTAAATGTGAAACACAAAATCCCTAGGCCCCAAAGTAGAGCCGAAAAGGCACCACGTGGTAGTGGCCAAAGCGAAAGCCAAACGAGCGTAACACGTCTGAACTAAAAGCTCCGACTTGAAAAGGTCGAGAGTGGGAGTGGAACTCCCAACAAAGGGCTCGAGGAACAAGCACGGGGCGAGCCATGAGTGAGTCTCTAGAAAATGGGACACAAGAGGACCAAAACATGACACGTGGAAGTGTCCGAGATGGAGTCCGAGGTGGAGTCCGAGATGGAGTCCGAGGTGGAGTCCGAGATGGAGTCCAAGATGGAGTCTGAGATGGAGTCCGAGGTGGAGTCCGAGGTGGACCCGAGATGGACCCAAGATGGACCCGAGGTGAGTCCGAGATGGACCCGAGGTGGAGTCCGAGATGGACTCGAGATGGAGTCCGAGATGGAGTCCGAGATGGACCCGAGATGGAGTTCGAGATGGAGTCCGAGATGGACCCGAGATGGACCCGAGATGGAGTCCGAGATGGACCGAGACAGAGTCCGAGATGGAGTCTGAGAGGGACCCGAGATGGAGACCGAGACCGAGACCGAGACCGAGACCGGAACTGAGACCGAGACTGAGGCCGAGGCCGAGACCGAGCGAGGTGGAGTCCGAGATGGAGTCCGAGATGGAGTCTGAGATGGAGTCCGAGGTGGAGTCCGAGGTGGACCCGAGATGGACCCGAGGTGAGTCCGAGATGGACCCGAGGTGGAGTCCGAGATGGACCCGAGATGGAGTCTAAGATGGAGTCCGAGATGGACCCGAGATGGAGTCCGAGATGGACCTAAGATGGAGTTCGAGATGGAGTCCGAGATGGACCCGAGATGGACCCGAGATGGAGTCCGAGATGGACCGAGATAGAGTTCAAGATGGAGTCTGAGAAGGACCCGAGATGGAGACCGAGACTGAGACCGAGACCGAGACCGAGACCGGAACTGAGACCGAGACTGAGGCCAAGGCCGAGACCGAGCCCGAGTCTGAGTCCGAGTCTGAGTACGAGTCCAAGTCCAAGTCCGAGTCCGAGTCCGAGTCTGAGTTCGAGTCTGAGTG